TCTTTCCACTGGGAGGATGCTGGCTGGTTCAACATTTGGACTGGAAACATAACAATTTTCAGCTGTCAAAACTTGGAGCTTCCTAAGTATTCTTTAAGAGGAGCGTGAAGAAAACACCACCATGCTTTGGGGTGATGCTGATAAATCTGCTAGTAGGGTTGCACAACCATTACCAGCAGGTCTCATGGACCCACGTCCATGCTTCTAGCTGTAATGCCTTGTCCTTACTCACATTGCCTCCTGCAGATGAACTCATGCTTTAGACATTTATTCTGTTTACACGGTTTCTCTGCATTAGTTTCCACTTAAACTGATTGTGTAGTTTCATTTTGCCAGGAGCTTTACAGGGTGAGGACTCAGAGAAGTCTGTATCTTTTATTAGCACAAATAGTGGAGTTGGAAATGAGGGGCTTTTAAGGCACATGAAGTGCTTTAGATGCCACTTCAGAGCAGCATCTCCACTTTAATCAGAATTTGCTTTTCTGGTGCTATGCTTCCAGGGTGTTTTGGGGGAATATGCAACACAGTACCCAGAGCGGTTGAAAGGCATTTTGCAACTGCTAGCCCAGATAAACAAATAGTGCACATACTAGGAGTTTGCACATGCTGCAGGTTGAAAACACAGAATATTCATTCTCGGAAAGAACTGGACTTACACTGCTGGTCTAATGACGCAGGTGTGGAGAGCACTAGCCCCATCCTGAGCTGTGCTGGAGTCATCTATCTCCTGTATGAGGAAAAGTGTTATTTCTGATACTTTTTTTTTCTGGCTTCACACCTGTCCGTTAAAGCAGGGGCATGTTTCCCCCTTACTGTTGCACCCAGTTGCAGAAGTGTTTTATTATGATCTAGTAGGTCTTCCTATCCATCATCAGTGACAGCCTCCCTGCAGCCTTGTCCTCAGCAGAAGCCTACATGGCCCTGTGTCTTGTGACTTGATGAGAGTAAAAACCTGTATCAAATTGTGTGGTTTCTCTAAGCTCAAGTTCCACATAAATTTAATGCCATATCAACGATGAAGGGGAAGAGAGATTATTACCCTTATTTAGCTGGTTTTCTCTTCCAGTCTCCTGCTTTTAAAAGACTCTCACTGATGTTCTGTGCAAAACAGGGAGGTAATTTTCAGCGTAGGATGCTTTTAGCCCTCCAGCTCTGTTACTTTACATGCTGCCAAGGCTCATTCACCCTCAGTTCCCTTCCGCTGTCATGTGGCTCTGCTGCTACCTGCTCTTTCACAAGAGTGAGCACCAGCCTGATGCCTTCCTGCAGTGCTGCTGAAAGAGCTGCCATCTGTTTGACTTATTGATTAATCTCTCTTGAGCAAAAAGTTGAAGGAGAAAAGATGATGAGGCAGTTAACTGCAAAGACCCAGAACCCCTCCAGGCTAGGACGTGGCAGGGAGAAGAGCAGCCCCTTTCCATCGCATGCCTCCTCACATCCCGCTCCCACCCAAGGAACTCTCCGTCCCCATGGATGAGCCCTGAGGCTTAATCTCTCGCCACCTCCCCAGGTCTCTCTGAGACTTGCTGTTCACTCAGCTGGAGGCTCCAGCCTTGGTTTCACCATAGGGGTGTCCCTTTGCTAATCAGAGATAACAGCCTTTAGCATAAGGGCATAAAAACCTGCCTCTGCGTTTCCTTGGCTGACTTGTGGTCTGTGCACCACGTGGCCAACAGCGTGGTCTGATCCCCTGCTTCCAGCAAGCAGCAATCAGGCTCCCCCTCTGCTTCCTTACACTCCGGTGTTTCCAAATCAAATTAAGAGAGCAAATGCAGACAGCCCAAGGAAAATGATTGCTGGACTATCAAAAGGCAGCCGCAGTGCTGCAGATCTGCCATGCAGTTAGTAGAAATAACAGAGCAAATTCCAGCTGCTGTGACCAGTACTGCAAAGGAGTTTCCCCTACAGACATGTATTTGAGCTTGACTTGTGAGTAAACCCCCATAGAGTGCGTTGAGGGTGTCTGTGTTTTGGATGTGTGCAGAGGATGCGAGTCACATTGCCCAGTGTGTGCCCTCAAACATTTTCAGGTCCAGCAGATCTCCCTGAATCTTCTTGTCCAAAACCACCAGTGAATGACAGCTCACCATAGCTCCACACACAGGTCCCCAGGGCAGAGGAGCGCTGGATGGGAACTTACGGATTTTTCTGAAACCTGATTAAAAGCAGAAGGTTAGTGGGACCACTTATAGGAGGGATGCAGAGACACAAGTCCTCAGTTACTGCATACAGGTGCTGCTCTGCTGTATTCAGTGGAGCTGAGCCAAATCACTGCAAGCAACGCGCTGTCCTACCCATCCTTCTGATTAACAGGTCAGATGCATTCAGGAGGCCAAAGAGTACCCAATAATTAATTGGCACGAGTTCAACTCGATGTGAAGTAACGGAGACAGTAAAACACTCAGAGAGGCTGGCACAGGCACAGGCATCCTGCTTGGCAATTGCTGTTTGGTATTAGATGAAGCAGAGAAGACACTATCAGAGAGGAAACAACTTGCAGCAGGGATCTCAAAGAAGTTTGGCAATGTGCCCTAGGAGAAGATTTGTGAAGCTGCAGTATGGAAAGGGGGTGCATCTGCTCAGGCTGGTGCTCTGCACCCACTGGGCTGGATAAGCACCATCAGCCTGCTCTCAGCACCCTTGGGAGTGATGTGGGAGAGCCACGAGGAGCCCAGCCTTCACTTCCAGCTGTAGCTTTTACATCTGCATAGCCACAGACACCAGATACTTGTCCCTCACACCTTGGTTTTAAAAATGGGTAAGTTGGTTGACTCCTATTGAGTTACACTGAGGCATGCTGTCAAAGATTCATGCCCCAATTTCTTTCTGTGGAAAGCCTTGAGGTTTATTCCCTCCTTGGCCCCGCAGTACAGGCTGAACAGATGCAAGGCTAGGCTGGGTGAAGGCTCTACAATTTCATCATGGAAGTTATTTCTCAGCATCCTCTCTTCACACACACACATTTTTCCCCTCTAAGAAACTGGCTGGCTGACAGGTTGTGTTTGTCAGACCACAACACAGCCCATTACTCTTTAGGCTGGCATGTTAAAGAGAAATATAAACAGATTTTATTTACCTTTGATCACCACCAGCATCCCCTGTTACTAACACAGGCACAGTGAAATGCATCTGGAAGCGAGCAGCATGACAGCTCGCAGCTCTATTAAAAGGAACAATGAATCCAGGGCCTGTTGTCCCTTTGGGCCATCCAAGTCTGTTCTGTTTCCAGCAAATTATACCTTGTTCTGAGCCTGGTCATAATTGGCTTATTAATTAATTAATACTTGAGAGATGCTGTGAGACTGCTAAATACCACATAAAACCAGCAAACATTTATATCTCATTAAATATACAATAGGATATTTTGCAAGTTGAATGAAATTCCTTTACTGTCATTGCCTTGCAGTATTCAGCTTAGCTGACAGCTAGTCTTGTAACATATTTAAAAATGTGAACATTTAAGAAAAAGTAATTATGCAAATAGGCTAATGAGATCAATGCAGGCAGCAATAGCTCCTCCTTGCGTTTTGGCAAGCCACCAGCACTGCTTCCCAGCTGGCTGCAGATTGGAGATGTCTGCAGAGACAGCCTTACGTTTTGGTACCTTGCAGAGGTTTTTTTATTACGTGAATTTATTCTGATATATAGATCCAGTTTTGTTCTGCTGCTCATGTGAGCAGACACTACCTGCAAGGCTACCTTGACGGAAATCATTCTGGCACTACCACGAGCTGTCTGCCTTTGGTGGGCTCCAAGCCCGTTCAAAGTGCACCTATTCAGCGTGGCCTCCCTGCTGCACTGGAGAGGGCCAAGAAAAGACTGTTGTATGCGCCTGCGGTTTGGTCCCACTGGAAGAATATTTTATTGGTTGACACTTACTAATCTCTTCTCATTAATTTGGAACGGATAGTAATTTTCTTTCTGTCCTTTGAGGAAGTATCGGGAATGTGATTTTTCTCCTCTCACAATAAATTCATCCTTTCATTCATTATGGCATGATTATCTCTGTGGTGTTGAAGTATCTGATATATTAACAACTACTAATGAAACCTGGGAGTTGATATGGGGTGTGTGATTTGTCCTGGCCCCTGCTAAAGATTAATATGTTGAGTTTGGCATAATATGAACTGCTGAGCTGAAGTCTGTGATTGTATTACAGTAATATGAATTAAATAGTATAATTCTGGATATAGTCAAGTTTATTGTTTACATAGTGGTGATTTCTTGAGGATTTCAATGGTCTTTCAGCTTGGAATTGAGATGGAGCTTGCCATGGGTTTGAGGGAGCTTTGCAGGTCTGATCTGTGGTCTCACAGATTTTTTTTTTCATGGCATTTACAGAGGGTAGGTGAGATTTGACAGGCACCAACGTAGTGGCAACACTTAATTTCAACAGAAGGAGCATTATCCTAACATTTAAATGATGAAAGGTTTATTGACTAGATTAAGAATATTTATTGAACTGTGCTGAGAATGACATAATTGAAAAGCTCTGTACATATTCTCCAAATCCCTGCAGGGTAATTAAAAGCACTCATGCTGCTGCTGACTTCTGTTTGCCTTGAATTAGCAGCGACCTTTACAGCTATGCCTGCCACAGCAGTGCCCAGATGCTCTCCTCGGAGGGAAGGAGCTGAGTAGGGAGCAGGGACACCCATTGCATTCCGCCTCCCCAAATGCACCTGACCACCTCTTGCTGCATGCTATTTGCTGTCTCTCTGTATCCTATGCAACTTGCCTCCCTCCTAACTAGGCATTTGGGCAGTAGGTTCACACTGGAGATTAGTTCTTGCTAAATTAAATCCTTCCTTACCAGAAGGGATGATGCCCCACAGGTCCAGTCCATCTTCTGTCAATGTGCCCATCTAAATTTAAATAAATATCTAGTTACCCTGCTACTGCCCACCCCTTCCTCTGCCATGTCCCCAGAGGTCCTTCCCCAGCTCCCGGGCAGGGTGAGGAAAGCCTCCTGCCCACAGTGTGACCCTGCTGCATGGACACCTGTAGAGGATTTTTCCCTGGGATTAGAACAGGGTAGATGAGGTGAAAAAAAAATATCCCATGTTCCTAGCAGCCCCCAGCATCTTTCAGAGCCCCAGGAAGAGCCTTACTTTGTCAAAGCAAACAAGGTTGATCTGCCCACAGATATTAATCCTCTGTGGGCTGATGCAGAAAATCATCTTTTTCTTCAGCCTCCTTTGAGCATAAACAGCACGTGTTGTCAAGGCAGCAGGGATAGCAGGAGGCATGGCCACAGTGAGGATGAGGAGGGCCATAGCCACCACATCTGCCACCACCTTCTGCAAAGAGTGAGAGCAACAGGGGCGGTGGGGTAGGAGCAGCCTCCCTCCCCTGCTACCGCCGCTCTCGGGGGACCCACCTGTCCTGCCCAGGAGCAACACACACCAAGCTCTGCCCTGGGGATGACAGATTTATTCTGCTTTGTTCTGTCCACCTCCCCACCCCGCCATTTCTGGCATCTGAAAACTGAATTACAGAAGTGAACAATATTCCAAGGACCTTGAGTGACTGAGGGCTCAGAGCTGGCACCTGCAGCAGGGAGGCATCCCTCGTAGTTACCCTGTGGGACACGAGCACACACACTGTGTACATGAGTCCAAACACGCCAATGACAGAGAGGCCTACAATGAACTTGAAGGCATCTCTGTAGAGTTTGAAGTTCACTGGCTTGGGGTAGAGCATGGATCTCACCAGGCCACCTTTAGCTGTCTTGAGCCCTGTGTGAAGACATGTGCCATACATTGTGTACACGACATAGTGGCGACGTACCGCATTGGTGCTGTTTGAAAATGGACAACATTGCACAAGCCTGAGCCATCAGGTGGCAACAAGCGCTTCTCAGGGACAGCAGACCTGTGCTGGACTTGAACTACAAAATGAAACTATCTCGCCTACCAGCCTTTGGGGCTGCTGCTTTCCCTCTGCTGGTTAGCAAATGATAAAAGAAATACCAGCTTGCAGCACGACAACTCTCACTGGCCCTCTGCTCTTCGACTTCGTCTGTATGACTTCTGTCCCGCAGAAGAGGGTGTGTCTCTGATAGTCTTCTCTGCTGTGGGTTTTCCAGGGCATTGGACTCTCCATGAGGGGCAAGGGGGTTTTAGTAACCGGAATGCTTTCACCTAAGAACAACAGCGTGCAGCTTCACTTAAAGGGAATTTAAAAGTCTATCAGATTCTGCATATTAGAAAGTGACAGCACCCTTTAGGTGCTCAAGCTTGCCTGACTAATTAGCTTGCTTATATACTTACACATGTGGATTTATGGTGACAGCCATTGTAGTTCTAGTTTTGGAGTACATCAGATGGCTTCTCTGAGCGTTTTCTGTCAATGGGCTTGGGCCAAATTTTGCCCGACCCAAGTTCATGTCTTGTAGTGGCTTAATGTTTAGGTATAACACTGACCCCTATGCTTGAACAGAACTGCTGCAAGATCAGAATCCAAACACTCAAAAAATACATACTCAGTGTGTGAGTATTTTCACTTTCTACTCCTGACAGTATATTAATCCTACTTGTTAATGTAGATGAGAAATGCATATTACACAATGGCAGTGTTCAGAAGCCCAAGACAACTGTGAATTATTCAAGCCACAGTTTTTCCACCTCCTGCTGCAAACTATTCTAATAAATAGCAAACAATTTGCTGTCAGAACAGATAGAGACATCTCCCTGACAGACAATCTGCACAATGTTAGCATTTCAAACTCCAAGGCTGCACCTGTGAGCACCCCTTCATTCACAATGCAGCTTCCATCACTCAGGACAGCATCACATGGGAGAGCGTGCTTTTTTCCATCTCAAACAAACATGTCTCCAGGGACTAAGTAACCAGACTCCAGCTCTTTGCAACCTGTAGAACAATACAAAAATGAACTTTACTTGTGCACAAGTTCTGGGCAATTAAAAAAAGTCTCAAGGCACACACATCATCGCTAAACTTCTACATTGCATGATTTAAGGCCAGTGCTTCTTAGAAATAATACTGACTGAAAAGCAATAGCACAAAGATCGGCCCTTGTCTAAACATGTCCCTCCAAGTGGTCATCTCCAGTTTGATTTGCTTAGTGCTTATTTGCATAAAACATTCTGACCAAGAAAACCCATCCAAGGCCTTTACATCTCCCATCACCCTAGCAATTTCCCAGCTCAGCATCTTTGGGAGGCAAAAATAGCTATAACCCCTATTTTATGGGCAAGGAACTCAGACGCAGGAAAGAAAGTGCATACCTCGGCGGGAGTCATATATCTAGACTCCTTGAAAATAGCTCACAAGCTACTTGACAAGATTGTGAAAGTAGCCTATAGCAGAGCAGGGAAGCAGGTCTCAGAAGGCCAGAGTTGTTATCTAGTTGCTTGTTTGTGAAATTAAATTTTCCAAGCCATTCTTGACTCTTAACACAAATTACTAGGTTCACCTGTATCATTACAGATGCCACAGATAGAGATGATAACAACAGATGCATCATTACCGCACCACATTGGCTGCGCCCACACTTCTCACTGCCCTGCCCGGCTCACCTCCCTCTGCCCCATTTCTCCCTGCAGCTCGCCCTTCACATTTCAGCCGTAGAAATCAACAGGAGCTGTGCAATCCCAGATACATTTCAACATGTTAGTTAATTATACAGGCTGGTGAGGAAAATGAGACACAGATGACTCACCTGCGCTCTTTGTGCAGACTGTAACCTGGACTTCATTATGCTCTTCAACGAGGTCATGCAGCTTGGTAGACTGCTGTTGATGGGAAAGCAATTGCAGTGTTGAAACACCAATACTCAAGCGAAGCAGTAGGTTACAATTCAGTGATCATGCTAAAATCACAGAAACTGAGCTCTGCTGAGTTATCCCAGGGAGATTTCACATCGCTTGTTAGAAGTCAGGATGCAAGTTCATCGAGTTAACCTAGAACAAGCTGCTGTGGGAACACGGACCTAATTTTCTGTTTGCTTCTGATTCATGCTGCTGTATCTCCCTCAGTCTTCAAGGGGCTATTCCTGCTTCGTGCCAGATCAAGTTTCCTTAGCTGCAATGTTGTTATCTGTAGTCCCTTCATAGAGGGTTTCTTTGTGCTCAATAGTTTCATCTTTGCTAGGAGGCTATCAACAGGACAACCAACTTGTAAAGACTATCATTACAAAACTGTCATTGCAAGAAGAAAAACAGAAGTTCTAATTTAGATGAGTGTCTGTGCTTTGCCAGTTTTTGCAATCTAATTCAGACAATTACATATCCTGAGATAATGATGAAGTCAACTGTCATTGCAAGGCCATTAGAGAGAATGCCTTATCTTAAGTTGCAATTGCAAAAAACTGATCCCCAAGCGTGGATTTCATTAGCATTGTTCTTGTGAAGATGTCAAGCCAGTTTGAAGAATATCCACAGGCCCCAAACACTGAAATTCTTCCTGCCAAAATTATCAGTCACACAATAAAACTGGCCTTGCCAAAGAAAGCTGAATGGACCTTTGTGCTCTGCAATACCAGGACGTGACACGAACACTTGAAGTACAAAGGTGCGCTCAAAGAGACGTGAGCACTTATTCAACATGGGAGCGCTAGTCATCCCACAGATATTAGTCAGAGATACAAAAACGTGATGCGTAGCCAACACACCTGTGCTGGCAAAAGCCCCAGCTATTCACAAAGCCCTCGCTGAGATCAGTGTGAGGCAGCAATAAAAGCATGCCCTTGGCAGAGCAGAGGGTGCACAGGAATGCCTCGTCAGCACAGCACACCAGCAAGCACATACTGCCCAAAGCCCTGAGAGCCTTGGGGCCTGGGACCTATGCGGGGAGTGTGCTGTGTGCCTCCAACCAGCCCAGGGAAAAGCAGAGTCGATTCAAACAAAGCCAGCTCACAGAAGGGCAAATTATTGCATCCTCCTGGGCAGCACTTCAGAGCAGTTTGCTGTACCACCTTCTCAAGGAACCTTTCTAAGGGCCGAATCTTGCCCTTCCCCAGTAATTCAGTGCAGAAACAATGATTTTAGCAGTGAATTTGGAGGCAATATGAGCTGTGCCTGGCTTTGAAACAGAATAGAAGCATGACAGTCAGGTCAGTGCAGCCCAGAGCTGCCATCCCTTCACCCTGCCACCACCTTTAATCACATCATGCTGTCTGCAGGAACTGTAATTCTCAGTGCTGTCCTCTAACCATTCTATTTTTTCCTGAAGATTAACAAAACATTTACCAGAACCCAGGAATCCCCAGTTAGTTTCTGCTTTTAAATCTTGACAGTGAAGAGGAATGTGATACCTAAAAATCCAGACCCAAGAGACTAAAACATTGCCTGGCAGACTCCTGTTCCCATCACTCTTTCCCATCTGTACTTTCATTCACATAGTTTCTCTTTTTTCCCTATTATATCCTTTCTCCATGTGACTTTTGCCTTCCCTGTGTAAAGTGGGCTCAAATCAAAGAAATGTTTTCCCAACTCCCAGCAAGAGTGTTCTGCGTTTCAAGCAGGAAGCACCAGGAAGCTCATCTGGCTGCATGAGGATACTCGGTGGCAGGAAAATGTGTAAGGCTCAGCTCCATTTATTTGCCTTTGCCATAGTAGACACAAGGTTTCAGGCTTACCACAGGTGAATGCTTTAGCTTAAAAAGTGAATGAGCTGAGACTATTAGAAAATGCTTCCAAGCAGCTGTGTCTGTGGCAGAAGTGTCAAACAAATTTGAGAAATAAAAAGTCATGCTTCTTGCTGCTGCTAAGGCCTCCTATTTAGCCAACCTTAACAGAAGTGAATCCTCCTGAAATTACAGTAGGAACCAGACTCATGGATATAGTCCACCTTCATAAAGTCTTACAAAGATCAGGTATCACACTTCAATCTTCTCTAATTCTTGGGAAGTTCAAGACCCCCAGGTATGACCCTTTTAACTCTTAGAATCATAGGATCATAGAATTGTTTAGGTTGGAAAAGACCCTTAAGATCATCAAGTCCAACCATTAACCTAGCACTACCAATTCCACCACTAAACCATGTCCCTAAGCACCACATCTACACCTCTTTTAAACACCTCCAGGGATGGTGACTCAACCACTTCCCTGGGCAGCCTGCTCCAATGCTTGACAACACTTTCCCTGAAGAAATTTTTCCTAATATCCAATCTAAACCTCCCCTGACACAACTTGAGGCCCTTTCCTCTTGTCCTATCATTTGTTACTTGGGAAGAGACTACCCCCTCCTTTCAGGTAGTTGTAGAGAGCGATAAGGTCTCCCCTCAGCCTCCTCTTCTCCAAACTAAACAACCCCAGTTCCCTCAGCCGCTCCTCATAAGACCTGTGCTCCAGACCCTTCACCAGCTTTGTCACCCTTCTCTGAACATGCTCCAGCACCTCAATGTCTTTCTTGTAGTGAGGGGCCCAAAACTGGACACAGTATTGGAGCTGTGACCTCACCAGTGCCGAGTACAGGGGGACAATCACTGCCCTGCTCCTGCTGGCCACACTATTCCTGATACAAGCCAGGATTCTATTGGCCTTTTTGGCCACCTGGGCACACTGCTGGCTCATGTTCAGTCAGCTGTCAACCAACACCCCCAGGTCCTTTTTGGCCAGGCAGCTTTCCAGCCACTCTTCCCCAAGCCTGTAGCGTTGCATGGGGTTGTTGTGACCAAAGTGCAGGACCCACACTTAGCCTTGTTGAACCTCATACAATTGGCCTATAGAAATAAATCCGCAGTAATACAGCAGAATACACAGCAATAAAAAATAACCAGAAAGAGCATATAAATAGCTACTGTGTCTGTGGTAGATGAAATTGCTAGCAGAGTGCAGGATGGGGAGCTGGCAAGCTGCGTGGCAGACTCACCTGTCTGAGGTTGTACACAGTTAAGCCAACAGAAATTATCAACAGGATTTTGATGGCCACTGAATATTCAGTGTAGACTTGGCTCAGCCACAGCATGAGGGTGAAGGCTTGGAACATGTAGAAGGGGTTTAAAATCCGCAAATGCAAATGTAACGCTTGTCAGGGGATGGGCATAACACACGTCAGGAGAGATCGAGTGTGGGAAGAGGTGAGAACATTTCATTACAGCACCCAGGAGTCTTAAACACCAATTTGAAGGGCTGTTTTACCATCCCAAGGCAGCATTCTTTCATGGCTATTTTAGAGCATTAATAGCCTCCAGCTCTGAACTTACCAGCTTACATGTAGTTCATGGTGTTAGTAATTAAAAGCTGTTACTAACCAGTTACTATGCAGCAGCATCTATGCTGGCAACTTTAAGTCAGACTTAAGGGACCGGAAGTCAGTTGGTTTCCCACTGTAGCCATCTAACAAAGGTGACCTTAGCATTTCTGATACTAAGTAATTGCTACACAGGAGATACTACCCAAATGTGAAAAAAGACCAAATTACAGTAAATGTCTTTAATACTTTGTTATTTAAGAAAGTCACTATGAATATGACATTTATTTGGAAAAAGAAAAATTACAAAGAAGAACTAAGGGTTTGCGGGGCCATCAGTAATCAGGCTTAGACTACAGCTAAAATGAAGGCTCAATTTCCTTGTACTTCCATACTTTTGGCTACTCTACATTGCATCAGTCTTACAACACCATTCATCACTCACTTTAATACGTTATGCTAAAACAGGCAACAAGCCCCACTGAAGTCTGTGAATATAATTTTGGTTATTGTGGTATCTAGCTAACAAAAAAAGGGTTCAATGAAGTTTTTCAGAGATCTGCCCACCACTTGGCTTGTCTGAAGGAGTGACAGACATTTCTTTAGACCTGGTATAACTAAAATAGCCACTGAAAGAGCTTTCTGCATAAAGATTGGAACTGAAATGAATTATTCATCTGACAAATTTGGTCCCTCAATGAAAATTTAATACTTTCTTTGACATTCAGTAGGACAAAGAGATAGACACTAAATCAGGATGCCAGTCTTCGGCCACTGAAGCAGTATCTGGACTGAAATACCACAAGCTTACGAGGACCAGTATGCCTCCAGGCACCACCATTAATATTTCAAACACGAAGCTTCAGCCTTGGATGGAAGCGCAAAGTTCAAATTAAATAAACTTTTTAGAGTGCTAGGCTGGAGTTCTCTTCAAAACCATCTCTAGGCAGCACTGAAAGGTTGGTAACATCAAATCCAACCAATTTCAGGAGCCCTGGAGCTTTTCGTGTATTTTGTAGGGTTTCAAACAAACTCCACTTCAGTTCAGACACATGCTATCTTGGAGTCCCAGCATTCATAACTCTTTTCCATTTTAAAGTGTTCATGTAGCATCCATAATCCACTGAAGTGAACACAGATGACCTGACAGTATTCTGTATGCAAAGCCTCTGCTTACAGTTTGGCAAAAATATACGTCCAGCATTTCTGTATGTAAACTCAGCAAGTAACTATCCATATGTGTATCTCCTCTTATCCACAAGATGTGTTTGCTTTTGTCTTCTGTAGAGGAAAAACGGTCTTGCAGTGTGTCCTTATTTATGCAGGAAAAAAATTACCTTGCATCTATGTCATAGGAGAAAAGGAAATTACCAGATGAACAAGGCAATTAGAAAATCAGAATTTTGCAAATGCTTTCTTCCATTCTAAAGTACACTCCTGATTTACACTGCTGTTAAGGCCACAAACAAGCTTGCACAATTCTTTGTACTACCTTTGGACTACTAAAACAAGGCTATTAAAGAGGAACAAGTGTGCCTTAGTTGTACCAATAAAATTTTCACTGCAGATCATTATCAAGAGCCTGCATGAAAGGACAGAGTTACTGATGTGGCTATGGTCAGTCCTAGCAGGTGCAGAAAGCACAAGCATTCCAGGTGCATGTCTCTACTCAGGGACTCACGAGGCAAGATGTCCCAGCTCATGGGAGATGTTCAGTCAGGAATGAGGGCCTACAGCAGAGAAGGACGACATCAGTCCCCCCCACTACTGCTATCCAAGAAGGGACACAGTCATCAGGAGGGAAACATTTAGCTCTTACAAGTATGCAGCACCAAGCATGCTCTTAGCTTCATATTCTTCCCTGTAACCTTCTGCCAGGAATGTGTGCTAATAGCCATAAAGGAGGTTCACCAACTTTCCTCCATGGCTTATGCATATGAAGCATCAATCACCCCATCCCATTGTGCCCAGGTAAAGTCTTCAAAACACTTCAAACTTGTCCCACCAAGTGCTAGTCTGACTTACTGACCTCTTTAAAAAGTAACTTCCAAATAGGACTAATTTCAACTTCAATGGCATTAGGCCCACACACCAGCTGCCTGGGAAGGTAGGGAAGAGTTCCCCATGTTATAGCTTAGTCACACAGGGTAAGACTTCACATGGAAAACTGTGTGCCCAAATAACATTAACACTTAGCTAAAAAAGTAAGTCCTGGGGGCACCATGTGGCTGAGCAGGACAAATAAGCCTGTCAGGAAGCTATTGTATCTGAGTGGACTTCACACAGAGGCAGAATTTTGCTGTTTCCTTGCCGAAAAGATCATCAGTTTGCTGCTAAACCTTGTGATGAGCTTTCCAGAGGGCTTTTAAGGAGGTGATGGCAAAGAAAGCCAGTCACGGCTTGCTGTGCACTGAACCCCAGATGGAACCAGTGGCGTTTTCCCCAGACTTAGCCTGGCATCACTGAGAAGATAATGAGCTCAACAGAACGTAAAGGATATGATTTTGCACCTTTCTGAATGTCACCCACACAGTTTGCACTGCCTTACTACTAAGATGAGTAGGAAGAAGCTCAGATGAATTTGAAAGGAAGAATTAATAGGTCACACTGTCACAATTAGCTCATACGTCTACTCGTATGTAGACCATACCTGATCTTCTGTTCTTCCCTTGTGAGGCCAGCTCCAAACTTGTGGTGTATGCTGTGACATGTGTTGCTGTCTTCTAATAATCTAGGATAACAGGAGAAAGTTCAGACAAGGGAGTCCCCTACCACAAAGGGTTTTGTAACAGGCTGCTGACACTCACCCAACTTTCTTGAATTCATTTACAGAAAAGTCCCAAATATAATGGATTTTCTGCACCTGGATACATCTCATCTGCAAGACCAAATAGCAAAAATTCCTTTTGCCATTCAAGGGAAAACCATCTCACTGTTACAGAAATGCTTCCCTATGTTTTAGGGGAAAACTTGAGCTTATGTAAACAGGATTTGCAGGAAGATGCTGACAGAGCACCCTGGGAACCTCCAGGTGCCTTGACTCCTATTTTCACCCACCTCCTCCCTGCCATCTTTCTTCTTCATTTTATAGATGACTTACCTTTAACTGTGGCTTCATTATGGCTCTGTTTATGACAGAATCTTTATCAGCTACAAGAGGACCATCTGAATTACTACCAACAGGTAGTGCCAATGTGGACAAATCAATCCAGGTCACCTTCTTCCGGGTGTATGTCTGAAACTCATCCTAGAGAAACAGAGCAGAGTTCAGTGACAAGCCCAAAATGTGGCCTGTGATAATGTTTCCTGACTCTGGGAAGTATATATGAGATTCCAGAGAACTACAGTACTGTGGCATCATTGCAGTCATAGCAAATGTAAGTCTATAGTAACAGGGATGTTGGTATCAGTGTTTTTGTACCAATCAGTAAAGCACTTCGAAGTCAATCTCGCAGTCATCTCCAATTGCTTTGGTTCATGCTGCGGAGCCATTTCAGAGAAGATGAAACTAAACCAGAAGATGTGCTTCAATAGCTACTAGATGGATATTCAGTCTATGGGATCAGACTAGAGCTAGCTGGAAGTAAAAGCTTTCTGAAATACTTCTGGTGTGGACACTGAGTCCTCAGCACCAGCTACTTTGCTCTACAAAACTCCTGTAATGCTGTGTTACTTGCTATACATGCACAGCCAAAAGCAACTCAGCTTTACTGCTATACATGCATTTGTCAGACTGAATTGTCCTTTAATCAGTTGAGTCTAATGTAACTAGTTACGATGAGCAATAGATTACACATTTAGTGGTTTGAGTGCATTTATTTTAGGAATATCATTGCAATGTTGAACATTAAGTGTCTTAAGCATTTGCTCTGCTAGAACTGAGTTGGTTTTAATTTACAGCCATGGAGTCTTAGAATATAACTAATGCCTGAAATCTAGCTCTCTAAAACCCATCTCCTCAGCATTCTCCAATAACTTTAAAGCAGAAAGGCTACTAACAGCCACAACTTCTGAAGATGAACTGAAGCCAGTTGGCTGCACCCCATGCACATAAAGGAAAGGAAAAGGCAGAGCTGTTTTATAGAACATGTTATTGGCAGAGGGTAGCTGCTGGAGCCTGTGGATGGGCAGCAGCAATGCCTGAAGTCTGCTTGGTGCCCAGCCTTCAGGCAGAGTAGCTGCGCTCTTGTTAGTGTAAACATGGTCTATTATGCAGGGTTTCAAACCTTGCAAATAAAAATGGTTGGTCCCCTGAAGCTTGAATCATCCCTGCCGCTCCACTTCCAAAAGTGGAAAGTGTTATTAGCCTGCTACATCATGCAAAGACAGACAGGCTGCCCTATCTGTGAAAACAATAGGTTCGGCAAGTAACAACGAGCTATGAGGGTTCACCTACTGTTGTTCTGAGCAGAACAACGTCTGCTTCTTCCAAGCTGCAGCACATGCAGTTTGCCCACACATCCCACTTGGGCTTCCAGTAAAACAGCAGCAGCAGAGCCCCACAGGACAAGAGGTATCCAGCAATGTAGAATACCCTCCGTCAGCCTTGGGTTTTGTAGCCAAACATAGAATCACAGAATCATAGAATCGTTTAGGTTGGAAAAGACCTTTAAGATCATCCAGTCCAACCATTAACCTAACACTACCAAGTCCACCACAAAATCAGTTTAGGGTAGAGTAATAATTTCATGTTTCCTGGCTTGGTACAGCAAAGAGAAAGCATTCTTTGTTAACAGGTTTGACCTTGGCGTTTGTTCATCAGGAAGCTCAAGCTTATTGAAAAGAAAGGCTGGTGACTGAAGCCCTCCCTCATAACTGCTCAAGGTCATTTTTGGAAATGAGAGTTTGCTGATTGATATGATATAGTTAAGAATACAGCAGAGCTGCTGAAAGGAGGATGCTGCTGGGCTGCTGCCGGCAGAGGAGCGTTCTCACATCAGCTCTCCCAGGGTTAATGAAGAATTAACTCCAGTCTGGACAAGACTGCAGCTGACCCGTCATGGTAACACTTCTCTATCTGCAGTGCTAGCACCAAACAGCCCTGCCTGCCACCGAGGAGGACATCTCCATGTGAACATAGTGCTGACTGCTGAAATCTATCTTGCAGCAGGAGCACAGAGTCTGCCTCAGGGGAAGAGAACTGCCAAGCCCCTAGCAACTCCTCTCAGGTACCGTACCTACTGGTGTGTTAGCTTCCACCACATACACCTTATCTTGAAAACATACATAGAAGGGCTCTTTTTGCTCTGTACAATCTCTTCTTCCAACTTATTCCCCAGGTCGTCTGTCATCTTCCCTACTTGCCCTTTCATTTTGATAGCCCAGAAGTCATTCATCTATTTGGTGATGCTCCACTGTCTGTGAAGGAGATTAAGTCCATAGCTTTAGTTTTTCCCCTCGAGAAGAACTTTGGATTGTTGTACTCTTTGGTTTGCTTTAAACCTGCCCATGGGGCTAACAATACCTTTAATGCCTGTAGCATCCATAACTGGATTCTTCTTTACACACTGGGTGCTTTCCCAGCCCTCTGAGAACACTGCAGGGCATGAGGGAAGGGGGGAGATGCCCCATCCACAGCTGGTGTCTCACAGCACCCAGGGATACCAACCCTTTGGACACATCACCCGCATCCAGCCTGGCCACAGCTCTCAGCAGTGAGACAGCAGCCTTGGTAGGTGCCACCCTGGCCCTGCAGCCCTACATCCACCCCCTCAGCATCTGTGCATCTGTCCCTTTCTGCTTCCCCACAGGCACCAAGGCAGGAACCCAGGCAGCCCCCATGCTTTGTGCACCCATGCTATGGTAGATTGTGTAAAAGTTTATTTGGGAAAAGAATTTTGGTTTAAGGCTGAGATGAAAACCTAGAAAAAGAGATTTAATTTGTTGTATTGCATCCACTGCTTGGCAGGGGGGAATGTATTGCTTTCCATCAGATGTCTCCATTCATGCTGCAGTGACCCATTTGTTTCCCTATCCAGGGCACTTCCCAGGCACCTGTCAGCTCTCTTCCCTGTCCAAAAGGCCCAGCTCCAGGCAATCCCTGCAACTTCACCCTAGGGCTGATGGCGAGGGCAGAAGAGCGCTGGCGCTCAGAAGCAAGCGGAGGAAGCAGTGGCATCGCAGGCGAGCAGCTGCAGCGCTGCCCGGCCCATCGCTCCGGCACCAGCTGCCGCCCACGGCTCGTGGGTGCTGCAGGACAGGCCCGTGCAAGGAGCTGCAGGAGCAAGCCTGCGCCATCACTGAGGTGAGATACCCAACCCAGACCACAGGTAACAATTACCCACCCATCAGGCAGCAGCTGCATGAGGCACCTGCCCCTGAGGGGGTGTCAAGTGACCCTGCAGACGTAGGCAGACGTAGTAAGTAAAAGGAAATGTTCTGGTACGTCTACTTGTGACAACACTTACTGTTTTTCCAGAATAGCTTGCCAACTGAAGTACACAATGAGATGGGATAGTGTAACCTATTGACACAGTTTATGTAGTGAGAGGAAGGGGAGGAAATGGTGTTTTAAATTATTTTAAAAAAGAATAAAAATGAGGAAGTCCCACGGCTGAAATATATGTCAGAAAAATGCCAGAAGGGTGACTGGTGCTTTACAGGAAAGAGTTTGCAACAAAGCAGAGCTCCTTGGAGAGAGCTTGTACAAACAATTGTACAGGTTCAACTTCAAATATAATTTTAAAGTGATTTAAAGGCAGTGGAGTAAGTGCCTATTTAGGTTTAAGAGAGCAATTAACTTGATTTATCTGAACTCTGATCATAATCAACAAACTAAGCTAAAATCAATGCATCTCAACTGAAATAAAGATAATCATGCAGCCCTTACAGCAGGTTAGTAAAATCCACTTCAAACCAGCTCTGTAGGATGTGCAGCCCTGCTGTATACAAAATATTATTCCTTCAGAGGCCACCGAAATTGTAGTGTTTTCTGGGTGGGAGGACAAACCACAGCGTCCACAACTAAGGAAATTCGAGGAGACTTCCATTTTCTTGCCTTTTCATAGCAGCATTTTTATAAATACACTCTAAATGCAGGCCTGGAAAACAAAGAGCCTGTTATGGGGGTGGTTGGAATGACAGGAGGTGAGTGGGATCACCCCACAGGGACGGGAGAGAGTCAAATCTGCAGCCAGATGTGGAGGGACGGGTGGGGAAGAGCTGTGGCATTAGGGCTGAGTGAGTGCAAGGCTGGCTGTCACGCAGTGAGAGCATTCAGGATTTCCAGCGTGAGCCGAACACGGGCTGTTGCCAGCAAGTGGGGCTCTCATGCACAGCTGTATGCTAAGCACAGCAACTGAGGAACCTGAAAATGCATTAGACACGATGGAAGATAATCAATAGAAGTACGCTGTACATGTCTAAAAGGGCTGGTTTAAATAAGCGGAGCGGTGCTGTGAGCTCCTGACACCCAGGGTGCTGGGGAGGTGCCCCTTCCTGCAGGCTGCAGGAACCCAGCATAGCCAGGTCATGCCAAGTCCTCACCACTGCGCTGGCACAGGGCCAGGCAGGAGCCCAGTCCTGCTGTGACAAGCAGAAGCCCAAATCCCCCAGGGCCAGAGAGATGGCCTCAGCTGGTGCAGTCAGTCCCCACATGGCTGCAACACGTGGCCGATCAACTGGCTCGCTCCGCACAGACGAGGTACAAAGGCAGCCGGTGCTCGTGCACAGCCTTTTCTCAGAGAATACACACTGGGCATTCACACAGTACTTAGGAAGAAGCACTGAAGGCCAGAGCTGAGGGAACCCACATTCACAGCTGATTCACCCCACTGAGCCTGTCTGCAGTAAGAAGAGGCTTCTGAGAAGTGCAGTACCTGGAAGCAAGGCTGCTCCAGCAGACAGGACCACAGGAAGATGTATTAGGAAAAACACCACTCAGCCTGATACAGACAACCTTGCACAAGGCAAGCTGTGTCAGCAGCAGCCAGGGCAGAGCTGGGGCCCTTCTCTGCCAGCAGGGTTGCAGGCACAGGCTGGATGGGGCAAGGGAGGTGTCTCCTGGAAGTGGGTGCAGCTCACCTGGCATGCACAGGCTCCCAGCTAAAGGGCTGCTTGTGGCAATAGCTTCACTCCACCCACCCACCCATCCATCCATCCTGGCCCTCCATCCTCATCAGGGAGCTGGCATCCCCATTGCTTCTTATGCAAGTAGAGGCAGGCATTGAGGGCCACATCCACACACCAGCTAGTGACTCCCTGAAGAACACTGTCTGTAGCAATCAGCATGACACAGATGATCCCTAGCTGACTCCTTACCTGTCTCCCACAGCAGATTTTTCATTTTGTGCTGGATCCAGGCTGCTGCAACTGGCCCAAGTTCCCCAGTCTAAAACAAGCTTGCATGAGCAGCAATCAAATCAAAGCAGGAATTTACTGAAGGCAACTAGGGAAGCTGAAGGCCCGCTGCTATTAGTAGCCCTGTAAGCAATCCTGATACAGAGATTCAGGTGTGCTTTACAGGGCAGGATCTTTCCCACCTGTGCATGCCCTGAGCACCTGCATCCCCATGATGGAGGCTCTTTGAGTCCCCAAGGCTGGGCAAACAGTAGTGACACTGGAAATGCTGGGAAGCACCTGCTAGCAGCTTCTACTTGCAGAGGACAGAGACTCCTGTCCTGGGGGAGCGTGCTGCTGTGCTTCCAGTGCATGTAGCACATATAACTCTCTAGCAAATACAGGAGTGACAGGACTATATTTTACACCTGTGCAGAGGCATCTACTTCTGTGCCCACGCTGTGCACTGGAAGTATCTGCATTCCAGCTGTTCCTTGCACGGAAAGCTGGAACAGGAGGTCTTACTCCCACCCTCACCAGACTCTGTGTGATCACTCCATGTTAGCAGGTAGAGTTTCCAACTCATTGTGTTTGCAAAGCACTCAGTGTAGCCCTTCCAGGCTGCTGCACATAATCAATAATCAATCACAATCAAAGACATAAAGTAGGTTCAATTAACATTAATAAAGAACCCTTGTAAGGACAGAGCAGCTCCGTAAAAGCTGCTGTAAAAGACTGAGAAACAACGTATTCCTGCCATGAGAGCTACAGCAGACTTTGGTCATCTGCCCAATCTTCCTAGACCTGCTAAGCAGCAAAGGCCCTTGCATTTTGGGAGAAGTGATTTAATCACTACCTCAGACAATTGTCCAGGATAAAACTCATTTGTAAGCACTTTCCCTATGACTTGCTTTCTGATTCACAATGACCCAGTAAGGGAAAGTGTACCCATTAGTAGAGATCCTCACAATTAGAATGAAAAAGACAATGGAACAGCCAGCAGGGAAAGGGACGCTGCTCCCTGAACAGATGACTTCTGGTGGGCAAAGAGGTCTCTTCCATGTTTCATGCCTCTGGACTGAAGTAGTACATTCCTCACTTAGGTCTTACTTTGCAAACCAATCTCAAAGTCAGCAAGGACTGATCCAGGGTTTTGCCTTCACCAAGGCTACGTTGAAGAGACGGTACCCAAATGAGGAGTGAAGGTGAAGAAGAAGTGGAGGCATATCCACAATGGGCATGTGGGAAAAGAGGCGAACAAGGAAACCAAAACCCAGCACAGTCCCTGTCGTGGTTTAGCCCCAGCCTGCTACTAGGAAGAAAATTAACTCTATCCCAGCCGAAACCAGGACAGTCCCCCACTCCTTACCAGCTCATTTTCTTCATCCTTGTTGAGGAGCACACAATGATCCTTCCAAAGCTTTTCCTCCACCTGACCACGTTGTTTTCAGTCCTGGATGGCCTTGTCAATGGGGTCAAGCAATGTTGAACGCAGTTACTGACTTGAACTCAGGCCAGTGTTAAAGTCGGCTCTCACCATGGTCCTGCCTGCTGCCTGTGAAAGCCTCACAGTGCACACACTTCTTATTAGGCTCCCAGGAGAGGGAGGAAAATCCACACTGACATGTAAAGCCCTTAAATGCCTGGCTTATGCAAGATGTGTGTTTCTCTGCCTCCTGGCTTTGCTGTGCTCACCAGGGTGGGACAAGCTGGAGCAGAGCTCCAGTGGCCAAGGGAGGGAGGGCACCTGCAATCCTGTTTAGGGGAGATGGCTCTGCACAGGGCTCAGAGGGAAATCGAGGCACATGGCAAGGAGAAGTGTGGGAGAGTGCCACAGCCCTACACAGAGCTGACCCCAGAGCAGCCACCCGAGCACCGGGAACTGCCTCCAGCATGTCAGAGAGAAGCATCTGCGCTGGGGAGATCACAGTGTCTGGGCCTGGGCTTGGTTTCAGCGCAGTGGAGGTGCATGCTGGAGCAGAGGGTTTCAGGTGTGGATCTAGTCTGAACTTCCCCACTAGCTCTGGGCATCACCTCAAACATGAGCTTTGGTTAAAATTCTGCCTGAGTTACAAGGAAAGAGCAACAGGGCTGGATGGCTCCTTTGGAGAAGCCCAGCTGGGTGACACAGGACCCTTGAACAGCGTGCAGCGTGAACCCCTGTGAGGCACGGAGAGGCGGGGGCTCCAACCAGCCCCCCTGGCAGGGACAGCAGAGGCAGGCAGGCTTGGGAGCCCCACCGTACATCTTCCAGTCTCTCGTGTCCCAGCTCTCAGTGTTGTCAGAAACATTTTTCAGGCATTAACCTGAAATTGTTCTGTCTCCCCCCATTCTCCTTCTGTCACAAAGTCTGAAAATAATCATTTATCCAGGCAGGAGAAATGTGCTGTGTTATTGTCCTGGAATAAAGTACATGTTTGTGTGGCTCTGAGTTTGCTCAGACCCTTTTTGGCTCAGCCACAGGGAAGCAATTCTCTATCACCGATAAGAACAGGGGATTTAAACTCCATAAAGAGACACAATCTTTGTACACAGCGTATTTCCCCAGCGATGGCAAATCAGGAATTCTTCCAAATTCTCCTTCCCTCAGGTGGGAGAGAGAACAATGCCCAGGGACTGCAGTACAGCATATCTGGAGCCCTCTAAGTCTCCCTCAATCTGCAGCTCCATCCTGAAAAGAGCTCCAAAAATGGAGAGAAGCACCTTTCACTAAGCAGACTACTAAGAAAATAAAAGCATTTATCTATGTTTCTTCTCTTTGAAACAGAGCAAGGGGAGGCCAGGCTGTCTGGCCCTAGGATGACCAAAGGGCAGTTGACACTTCGCTACACCCTGAATCTACCTGGGGCTGGCTCTGCATAGTCCAACCAGATCCATCTTTTGGGTGTTCTGCCAGCTGCAGTTGTGTCCATGAAACAGCAAAGATGGACCAAACACTGAAGAATCCTGAAAAATCAGGGTGGTGGTGGAAAAAATATCTGTTTTTCTTTTTCTTTTTAAGCATTGTCATTTTGAACTGTCTAAAACCTGAATTGAATCGGATTTCAATGTAAGTAAGCAGTCCCCCTTTGTCTCTATCTCTCCTCTGAGAGGGCATCAGTAACCTCATCCGCCACACTCTTCTGCACCTCAGCCACAGTCATGCAGCTCCCTGGACATGATACACTTGCAGTCATTCCACTCCCTGGTTTTCAGAAGCAGTGCCCATTTCTAAAGGTCTTGTACCTGCCTCTTACCCGAAGTCCAGCTGTGTCCTTTGTGGACATTCTTGTGGCAAAAGGCTTGTACACAAAGAGATAAAGTGCAACCACTGTAAGTAGGTGATTGCCTACTACCAGCCAATGCCTCCTGTACTCTCCAGGGGAAGGAAACTCAAGAGAGGTATCATTAGCTGGGTGGTGTTACTAGTTCTCTCTATTTTGATCATCCAGGTGAGGTGCGTTTCATTTACAGGTGTCGTGGTTTAGCCCCAGCCAGCAACTAAGCACC